CATAAGCTGGCCAAACTTGGCCTCCAAAGCAGTCCTCAACTGGTGCTCCAGCGAAGGGCTTTGACAGTGGTCCGGGTTCAGGGTTTAGAGTTTAGGGTTTAGGGTTTAGGTGTTAGGATGTAGACTGAAAGTTTTTCTTACACAGACCATAGCGCCAAATTGAACCAAACGGTATGTTTTTCCATCGCTGTTGGGGTCTGTTGCTGAGATAATACTATCATTATAATAAGGAACCCCTAAAGCCCTATTCTCGTTATTAAGGCCCCTACACTGCTCGGGAGTGGGCCTCTAGGACTCTAGACCTTCGGCCATGCTTGGCCGAGGACGAGCATCGCTGCACGCAGCTCTTCTACAACCTCGTGGCCAATGCAGTGAAGTTCACCCACGAAGGTCGGCTTTTGGGATTTTGGGGTTCAGGGCTTAGGGTCCTGGGTTAAGGGTTTAGGGTTTAGGGTTTTGGGTTTAGGGTTTAGGGTTTAGGGTCTATGGGGTAGGGTTTAGGGTTTAGGGTCCTGGGGCGAGGCAGCTGAGGGTCTGCTACACTAAACCCTAAGCCCTTGGGGTTTTGGGGGCGGATTGGTTTCAGAGCGGATGGTCACGCACGAAGCACTGGGATACCGATGGGGGTAGGGGCTTAGGGATCGGCGCTCTGAGCCCCAGACCCTGAACCCGATTTGGTATGCTAATTGTTGCGACTTACAGACTTCGCTGAGATCCGCACCCTGAACCGAAAACGCTAAACCTAAAGCCTTAACCGAGTTTGGGCTTGCCAGACTCATTGGCCTGGATTTCCGAGTTCTCATCGCAACAACTTTACACCGAGATCTATATGCTGATCGGTTAAGGGTGTCGGGTTTAGGGTTTAGTGAGTCCTACGTGACAACTGTCATGCTTTCCGCATCAGTAGTGGGTGCAATAGGGGTCTACGTTCTGCATACTAAGAAAAAGTACTTCCCGGTAGTGATTGTGTAGCTATACTGTGACTTTATCTCAAAACCCTGGTCTAACTATGTTGGCCCCCTGTTTTATCGAACCCTCACCAACAGAAACGTTGCAGAAGCCCTTGAAAGACACCCGAATAGAATCCTTTACCTAAACCCTAGAACCCTTTTATAGGAAACCCTAAACCCTAGAAGCCTTATAGGACCCCTAAACACTGAACCCTAGAACCCTCATAGGAAACCCCTGAAAGACTCAAGAGCCCCTATAGAAACCCCGCTAGAGAAGCCTTGTAGCTTGCACCACGCTTTGTTGCAGCATCAGCTGGCTCTCGGCTGATGCCTTCCTCACACCGTGGCTTGAAGAATGAGATTGCGTCGTAAGCTCTGGCTTCGTTTAGGGTTCAGGGGTTTAAGGTTTAAGTCTAAGTTCATGGCTGCGACAGTGAAACAGGCTTGCATGGCGTCTAGCAAGGACAGTGGCAGCATCCCTTCGCCAGGAACAGTCGAGTCTTCTGCGAGCTACGACGATTCCGAGGAGAAGCTGGTTGTCCGTATCAAAGACACAGGTGGCCAGTGTACGGAAGGTTATGCCTTCTAATCGCTGTACACTGCAACCTGAGTGCGTAGGGGATGCAGCATAACTTGGTTGATCCATGGGGGAGCTTCGATGCTGCTGACAGGAGTTCAGGCGGGGGAAATGTGATCTTCGCATGTCATCGTCACCATTCATTCTTAGCTCGGTCATCACCAGAATCAGCACCACCAGACCCCTTCTAAAGAGCATCACTACGCCATCATGACATGATCTTGCTGCTGATCACGACGGTGCCGGCGCCGGTGATGGTGTCTGTCGCTGTGATGGTCTATGTGGCTGTTGCTTTTGTTGCCGTGGCTGTGGCAGCAGCGGTGGCGAGCACTTGTCATGATGGGGCAGACTCAGAGTCACTGTCGATGGTGGGGTGCTGATGTTTTTGTTGTTGTTGTGGTCCAGAACTGCTACATAGCGTGTTTCACCGTGGCACCGCAGCGGTCTCAGTGCGAAGCTGGTTACGACTGACATTTATGGAATGGCGATAGTAAGGTTCCAAGTTCCGAACACATGACCACAGTAACTATTTGATGCGTGGCTGCAATGGCACGATGGGAACGACATGGCCGATTGTCGTGTTGTGGTTGTTGCTTCTGGTGTTGTTCCAGCTGCTGCCGCGGCCGCAAGAGCTTCGTTTGCAGTTGCTACCTTGCCGACAACTCTCTACCCACACGGAGTCGTAGTCGTAATCGAGCATGGCGGATGATCCTTTGCAGTTTGAATCTGGCTTTTTTCAGATGACTACGCTAAACGCATTCACGCATTCCCGAAGCCAAGAACCCGCTACCCTAACTCCCTAAACCCTAAACCCTAAACCCTACTCCAGGCATCGGCATCGCTGCAGCAAACATCGAGCGCATCTTTGAACCCTTTGATCAGGAGGACATCTCGGAGAGTCGGAGGCCAGATGGCTCTGAAATATGGGCATTACCCCTAGGCCCTAAAGTAGTTCCTTTTTGGGGTTCATATTTAGAATCCTATAAGGTAATCCCAAAAGGAACTACTATGGGGCCTATGGGCATTAGGGACTTAGGATGGTTTGCGGCTTCGGGTTTCGGGTGTTGGGGCTTCTGGCCGTGCGGCGGCTCTTGGTGTGTTGAAGCAGTTCAGGCATTTCGGTTTAGGGTTTAGGGGTTTAGGGTTTAGGGGTTTAGGGTTTAGGGTTTAGGGGCAGGGTAGCATCGTGGATTCCTACTTGGCTGCAATCCCCAAATCCAAGCTTCAACTCCTAGAGGAACAGGTGCAGTAGGCTTTGAAGTAACCCCAACGGAACCCTCATGAAGCCCTTGTGGGTGTCTTGGAGGGCCTGTAAGTACGCGACTAGGGCGTTAAGGTTCTCAGCTTCTATCCAGAATCAGGAGCAGAAGGATAGTGAGTTCAGGGCTTTAGCGATTTAGGGTTTAGGGTTTAGGGCCTCAAGCGATTTAGAGGGTTTGTGGAGCTTATGGGGCTTACAGTGGGTTTGCACGATGAGGCCGCTAGTGTGTCAAGAGAGGCTCATGGAATAGCAATACAAACCATCGTAAAAAGCGATGACGTGCCAGCCAGCCTACGATCATGCCCCGATTCGTCTTTCCGCTGGGAATGGCAGCAACCAACAACTACAGCAACCGCCTGCTGCGGCTACTCCCACTAGTTGCTATTACTACTGCTGCTACTAGAACTACTGTTACTACTGCTGCTACTGCTACTGCTACTGCTACTGCTACTGCTACTGCTACTGCTACTGCTACTGCTACTGCTACAACTACTCCTACTCCTACTACTACTACTACTACTACTACTACTACTACTTCTACTTCTACTTCTACTACTACTATTACTACTACTACTACTACTACTACTACTACTACTACTACTCCTACTCCTACTCCTACTCCCAC